CCTGGCTCCCTCCATCGTCACCTCCCTGGTCTCTGTCTGCCGGCCCCTTCCCGGGTGTCCATCCTCCTCCTGAACGCCTCCCAAGTTCCCACCCGTGTCCCCTCTCTGTTGTTCTACGGCGCGAGGATGCGCCTTCCGGGAGGGGGGCGATATGTCAGGATTATGGACTGGTTTTGTTGTGTTTTCCGTCCCCATGTGTTCCGTGTCCCAGTTAATTGACTGATTCCATCCACCTGTGTTCCCCTGATTGCCCTGTATTTAAAAGTCCCAGTCTGTTCAGTTTGTTTTTGTCGGGTCTTGAATGTCTTCCTTGTTTTCCGTGTCTCCTGTTGGATTATTAAAGACTCTCGTTTTTGTGAAATCTCCACGTCTCCTTGTTTCTTCGTGCCCGTGGTCCAGCGAATTGTGACAAGAGTGACTAAATTATTACTGAATACTCAATTTTGGGTGATCTACCCTTAACACAATAAGTGCTCATTAAGAAAAGTTAGTTCAGGAATCCAGCCCTCCAACCCTTTAGTCTTATTTTTCAAATCTTTGACCCATTTCGCTGAGACACAGCTGTGGCCTCCTCTGCTGTCCTAGTTGTGGCTTGAGATTTTTAAATAAACGGTACTATACCATTCCCCCTCAGATTAAACTGAACCCATCCCATTAAACCGTAATGAGGCTGTCACTCAGGACATGCAGTAAGGAGGAGGAGGTAAAACCAGATAGAGAGAAAGATTGAGTCCGATGTGATTCTAGTGGTGATTTCTCATTATTGGGGGCAGCATGAGGCAGCCGCTGTTCCCATGAAAGAGGCTCGTACCCCCCTCATGCCAGCCTGCCTGTCAATCTCTCCTCAATCTGGCACTTCATTCCTGGCAAGTTCTGACAGGGCCTCGCTAAAAGCATCAGTATTTTTAGTTAGTGGTGCACACACTTATGCATAGTTCATATAAACACATGACACATCTCATATGGTATATACCGTACAGCATCTGCAGTAAAGTTTTTATCAATTGTTTTGTGGTTTTGATTGTGTGGTTATAGTTCTAAGAAATGTGTCATATCTTCCAGGAAATATGTCTTAAGAATTGAAAACTGTAATAGCGTTGGAGGAGGTTCAAATGGGTTACTAGGCTGTGTGTAAGTGATTGAGATGGAGTAGTGCAATTCGGAACAGTATCATGAACCAAGGCATAATGAAATCAATAAATTGCATTAGAAGATAAGCCTATATTCAGGCTATACCATTATCCGCATTAAACATCTTCTAGGTGGGAAGCAATAAAGTTTCTGGACCGTCAATCATCAGTTTGAAAAATGCTGCATTTGTTATGGGATGTTTTCAGGATGGGGGGGAGGGGTTGGGTTCTTAAAATTATTTATTATTTAAAAGTTATTTATTTTGCTTTAGCATAGGCTTATTTAAAGTTTGCTTAACCCTCCATTGCACCAAGTTTCTTCAGGGTAACACACTTATAGTCAAATTATACGTATAATAGGGGAAGTCGTGGCTTAATGGTTAGAGAGTTGGACTCGTAACCCAAAGGTTGCAGGTTCGAGTCTCGTGCCGGCAGGGATTGTAGGTGGGGGGAGTGAATGTACAGCGCTCTCTCCCACCTTCAATACCACGACTGAGGTGCCCTTGAGCAAGGCACCGAACCCCCAACTGCTCCCCGGGCGCCGCAGCAAAAAATGGCTGCCCACTGCTCCAGGTGTGTGTTCACGGTGTGTGTGTGTTCACTGCTGTGTGTGTGCACTTTGGATGGGATAAATGCAGAGCACTAATTCCGAGTATGGGTCACCATACTTGGCCACGTCACGTCACTTAATAAATAAATAGATTAATATTGAAAGGAAAACATTTTTGGAGGGTCAGACTGTGTCCCCATGGTCATTTATAAAATGTTCTTGAGGCATGGTGAACCACGCAGAAGATGCCAATTTTTTGCTCTGGAGAACTTACCTTCAGAATAGCAATGTTTATTGATTTTTTTTTTTACCCACGGGAGTGGGTAAACTTCATTATAAAACATTCAGAGTTCTAAAAATTATTTGTATGTTATGAGGAATTTCTTAACCCTCTACTGCACTAGGTTGCATCAGGGTAGCAAACAAATTTTGTATTTGAAAGCACATGATGTCAATAAAGGGTTAATAATGAACGGATGCATTGAAAAAAAACATCAGCAAAAAACTTCACACTACAGGTGCATCCCAAATCGTGTACGTATGCACTATTCTGTGACGTTTTGAAGTATAAATAGTGTGAGTAGTGCGTTCACACTGAAAATTCCAAAAAGAAAAAGTGCACTTTAAATACCCGGATTTTGTGGCGATTTGAAAAAAAAAAGATTTATATTATTTAACATATTATTATTATTATTATTATTATTTAAATTATTTGTATGTTAGGAAGATGTGCTTAAACATTATGCTTTATAGTATTTGTAGCATTATATTTTTTTTGTTAATGCATTAAAATAAAATCAACTTAAAAATAAATTTAAAAAATGGTTTCATAATGCATGCAAGGTTAAATGTGCAACACTGCATGTGTCTAGATTTTTTAAAATAGATTGTAAAATAGCTTCTTTTAGTCTATTATTCAAATTGCTTTACTTTGTAAAAAACAAATTAAAAATCTTATCTTGTCATATATTAGTTATGAAGTTTTAATGCAATGTTTTCTGAGGGTTAAGTTTAGGATTTTACTTTCATGCTTAGATTTTTTTTTTTTTTCTAAAAATCCAAATCAAAGCATACAAAGTCAAACATACTGTATTCCTCACCAGTTCACCAAAACGTAGTTAGGATGGTTATGAGGTCAACTGTTTATTAAAATAATGTATTTAAAAAATAATAATAATAGTTTTTCTTACATTGCTTCTGTAATAGCTTAAAGCAAGGTCTTCTAGTTTCATTTGATGAAGACATGTCTTTCCACCTGTCAACACCATAAGTATTTTTAGCTTTATCTTTTAGAGAGAGAGAGTGCGTATGAGACAGAGAAAGAGAGAGAGCTAAAACAATGCATAATCAGTATCCTCTCCTTGACTAATGATGCTGTCAATACTAGCCTGTGCTTGGCCCCTGTGCGCTCAACCTCAAACACGGGTCACGCGCCACAGAGCACAGGGTCCCGGCCCCTCTTCCATCTCTCACCTGACTTGCCTAGCAATACCATAAAAACAACAACAACAACAAAAACACACCTCCTCTAACGCATCCTCTGTCACAGCAGTTCTCCAGCCTGATGCTCATCTGCCGAGTCTGTGGAGGCCCAATTGCTCCTAATTACTTCACCAGCCTCCATCTCGCCTGCAGTCCAGATCCTACCGCAGCACCGCTTCCACTCAGCCGGCAATTAGGAGAGGACAAGCAGGCATTGCTGTTCTGCAGTGGCTCCCTGCACTGATCCAGCGCTTGAGGGTGGAGTGACTGAAGTTCCTGGCGTTTCCCCAACTCCAATTACTGACCAGCGCTGCTATGCTCTTCAGAACAACAATACGAGGAGACGAACAGATGCACTTGTGCATCCCACCATCTGTATGACTGCTCTAATGGGGCTTCGGAAAAGAGGTGCTTCTTACCAGAAGAAGAGCATTATAAGACACTCTTTCTGAAGACATTAAAACTTAAGTGGGATTGTGAGCTGTGAACGCTGACATATGCTTCTGGGGCCTGTCAATAATGTGTCACAGTTTAGGTCAGGACTTTAGAGGCACTGACTTGAATTTCATATCTTGGTGTTTTATATCTCCCGTATGGGGATCACTGCAGGTGCTGTATCAGTAATGCATTGGAAATAATGATCCAGTGAGCTTAGATAATTAATGGCCACCTGTGCCAAAGAACACCCACAGTCCGTTCACTTGCTGTCTGATGGAATTTGCACACAAAACTAGGCGATGTTTTCTCAAGAGCTTTTGATGATGAAATTATCACTGGATTTCATAAAGTTTAACAAGTATTTATAGAGGACTAGTATTGCTTAATCCAACCCCATACCTAAACATAACTACTACAACAACTACATTATTTACTATCAATAAGAGACAAAATTTATTGAGACAAAAGTCATAATTAATAGTGAGAACTGGACCTAAAATAAAATAATAAAATAAAATAAAATAAACAGCTGTAGAGAACATTGAAAACAGTCAGACATA